CTCGGGCCTCCGCCGCGGGCTCCGCGGGAGGGGGCTGCCGGCCTGTGCTGGCTCCGAGCGCCTGCCCTCGGGGCCGTAGGAAACGGCAACGCTCCCAGCGTCGGGGGCGGGTGGTAAAATGCGGCGTGGCGAGGGCGGGCGGCAGCTCTTCCCCTCACCGGCGGGTTCCCGGCAGAAGGCAGGTTCGCTTCTCCCCCCTCGCAAAGGTGATTTTGCCAAGGCTGAGGCACGGAAGAAGAAGAAATGCATCGCTGCTGTCCGTTATACCGAGGAGCGAGGCGTGGGAGCTGTAGCAGGGAGCGGGGTGGTCTGCATCGTGTCCTGCTGGCAGGCACTCGGGCGGTGAGGTGGCACCGGGAGACGAGGAGCAGAGTCCGAGCGGACTTGTGGGCAGGGGCAGCGCTGTCTGCAGCTGTTCTCGCTCAGCGTTGTGTCTGTGGTGCAGGGGCAAGCGTCAGCGGTGCTTCTGTCTCTTCGGCACCTTCCCAGTAGTCAAAACTAAAACGGGAAGCTAAAGGTGAACTGACAAAAATTCCGCATTCGAGGAGCCCCACGCTGGTCCAGCCACTCGTCCCCTTACTAAAGGGACGCATGTCCCCCTACCAAGACTCAAATACGATGGCCCATTTTCTCTCCACAGCCCTTGCCTTCCCACGCCCCTCGGTAGGTAAGGTGTGCTGCGTCCGTTTCCATCCCGAACGCTCTTGGGAGTGTTTTGCAGTTTTGGCACGTACGCAGCTTCTGCATCATGCTGTTCTGAGCCTTGCAGTGGGCAGCCTTGTCTCGTCCATGCAGCTGCTGCTCATGGAGAGTCCTCATCTGGAGGACGTTTGCCTGAGGCTGTGGCCTCGTACCAGTAGCTTAAGGTGCTCTAAGGTACCTTGTACCTTGTTGTGTGTTGGGGAAGAACAGCATGCTGAAGAGAGGAGACAGAGTGCTTGGGAGCGCACAGGGCAACGAACTGTGCCCTAACAATCTGTTTACCATACTTTGAGTGTTCGTGTGTCTAAAAGTGATAGACAGCAGGTTTAATAAATAGTTGTCAAAGAATGTTTCTGTAAAACATTCTTTGCAGGTCTCTCTTAAAAATGTGACACAGTTGGGTAAATTTGGAGCTAATTGATGATATTGTTTGGAAGAAACACATTGTTCAGCCCTGTTAGAAATATCGACTTAATGAGATCTGAAACAGTGAAATAAATTTCACAAAGGCTATGAACATGTCAGTTACTTGTAGTTTTCTGTTTGTTTCCTAGAGAAAAAACACAAAACGAGTTCCAAGCTTTCGCAAGTTACTGAGAACTAGTAAAATAAAACTTGACAACAAATTAAAGAATAAACAGTACAAGCAGCAGAGTGCTGCTAAGAAGTATCGAAAAGAACAAAAGAAGTTAAGGGAGGCTGTCAGAGATGCTATCTCTAGAAAACCTTTTCCATTGGAAGAATGCAAGAAAAAACAAGTTGGTAAGTGTTTGCTCAGAGTTATTTTTGTAAGCAAAAAGGTACGAGGGTTACTAAATATCATGCTGCTTCAGGTTGTAAAATTATGTATCAAGAAAACAACATTTCATTTTCTGTGTGCGAATAATTGCTGTTCTTGTTTAAAGGAAAGGGAGAGTTAAGAAAAATATAAAATGTAGCCATGCTGGCAACAAGATCTGACGGTTGGGGATGGCAGAAGTGCATTTGCTCTGATCGTTATTGGATGTTACAATAATGGGGCAGTTTTCAGGGATAACACAAAACACGTGCATGAAGGTTGATGAGCTCCAGGTTGAAGTAAAGTGTAAAATGGTCTCACAAGCGTAGGCAGGGTTAGGTTTCCAAGTTTGAATATACATACAGAATCTTAATCTGTACACATCATCTTCTAAAATAGTTGGAAAACAGGAAGAAGATGAGGAAGAAGATGCTCTTCCACTGGACATGATGGATGAAGATGACTTAAAATTAATGGAGGATTTGGCTCAAAAAGCATCCTTTTTAACCAGAGATCTTTCTTCTAAGTGAGTGGTGTTGTGATGTCTACTTTTTGTACTAGTTCAACTTTTTGTGGTTACTATGTAATCAGTATGTAATGTAATACAAATATCAGGACCTTGCTTTCAGTCTGGTGTTTCATTGCCATTCTGGTTTAGTGTTTCCTTAGTCTGTCAGTACATTCAGTATTAATGTATTGATGTGTATCAGTACATTCACCTGCTCTGCCTGACCTTCAGGATACTGTTTCTGCACACTGTTCCTTCCCATGAGGTCCCTGGCTGTGAAATGAGTAGCATTCCTCAAACTGAAAGAAATGCTTTAATCTGTATGCAGAGTCTTTTATTCTATGTAGAGTACTCGGGACGTTCCCTGCACTTTGGGCCACTGTACTTTCCATGTTGCATTGCTAATTGCTATTAAAAAACCCCAAGGGTTCTGGAAGCCATGTCTGTAAACACATGTGACACCAAAACATTCATATAAAAAATTTGTTACCAGTTTTCTGGAGCAAGGTGTTAGGTCGAGTTCGCAATGAAATACATAGAAGGATAATGCTTCTAGTTGTAGAATCCTAAGTCTTTACAAATAATGCTTCTGCAGAGTAGTCTGGTTACATGATTGTTTGAAAATCTTAACTTGCCTTTTTTGGTGAATGTGAAAAGACTGTATGCCTAGCTGCTGTAGAGTGGTTTTAATTTTCCATGTAAACTTCAGTTTTCTTTAGTTCTGGAAGTGGTTGTTTCAGACTAAATGTTGAAATGAGCAAAAAGCATTTTTTTATTGTTTTCAAAAATAGAGAGCATTTCTTCTAGCTTTTTTTTTTTTGCTAGTTCCAGTACAAATTGTTAATTACTAATTAATAATTTAGTCTAGTTTCTAAGGAAAGTAGTAAATGGCTTTTTATTTCCAAAATTGCAGTTGTGTTGTACTCTATTGTATGGTCTCTTGTAGCCGCATTGCAAGTTCTTGAATTAAAAGAATTTTACTTTAAACCTTCCCCTCCCCCCAAACTAACTGGGTGTCACATAAGTTTCAAGTCTTGCAAAACTCAAAATTTATTGTGTGTTTTTATTTAGTGACATTTTGCAAGATGCAGTTCTATGCGTCTTGCATTCATTATGACAAGGCATTTTTAGAATGGTGGAAAAACACAATGGAAGTAGTTGCTCTTTTACCTGTTTTACTGTTACTAGCTTTTAGCTCCTTTCATAGTGTTCCCTTAAACTGGAAAATTTGTCTTTTTAATCTGTTTGATCAACTGTAATCATTCATAAGATCTTGCTAAATATTACCTCACTTATAAATTATGTGTTCATATTAGCACAGGTACTAATACTTGTGTTCTTATATACTTACATGCAGGTTAGAAATATAGCCTGTGAAGGGGTGGTACACCACACTGCATTATTTCTGTTATCCATGGAGAGTGGGGTGTGACACAGGCTTTCCAGTGAGCAGAGTAAAAAAGCGATAGTAGTAGTGGTAAAAGTTAACATGGACTAGGGTTAAATAAAAATGTGCACTGACCCACTCATTATCACATCCTGGTTAAGTGTCGATTGGGAGGTCAGGGCATCAAGGCATGGTAGGGGAGAGCGAGGCTGTGGGATATCTTAAGGAAGACACTGGACTGTTTGTCCAGTGAGAGGGTCCTAGTCCTGCTTGCTTGCTGGTGGAGTCTTTCATGGCAGGACTGCTCAGGGTTAAGTTTTCAGTGAGCCTCAGCCCTGCCAGGGCACCTGCTCATGCAGTGGGGGAGCACAGTGGGGAGGGAGGCAGGTAAAACAGCACTCTGGGCTAGGTGAGAGACAGGCTGTGCTGATATCTTAATAGTTTCTATTTTGCATCTTTGTATTTTCCTTACTCTTTTCCAAAATTTTTAATATTTTAGAGCTGAAATCATGTTTCCAGAGGATGTTTGCCTTTACAAGCTTCAGCTGATTTGTTCACTGTTGCCTTACTTTGAAGGGTCCCCAAGTCCCTTACTGCTACATGAATGGGAGCAGTGCCATCTTAAAACCTGTCAGCTAGTACTAGGGTTTCCAGATGTGTGGTATGACACAGAATTTCCCTTGTTTTCACAGCAGTTGCATTTTCTTCATGCTCAACAGATCAATCACAGACTTAGAGAATTCCTGTGCTCATTGAGTAGGATTTGGGTACACAGGAAAGGTTTGGTCTGCACGGGGACAGCAAGGCTGAGGCTCGTGCACTGTCCTTACAATGCATGCGTAGGGTGACTGTGTCATGTGTGCAGGGAATCTGGGTAGTCTCTGGGATGTAAAACTACTTCTCATGCAAGTGATTTTTACTTTCTGAAGCCTAGCAGTCTCTGAGCCCAGAGCTTTCAGAGCCCCTCAGATGTCCATAGTTGAAACTCTGCCCCTTACAAGAACAAAAGCAGTGTTCCTGTTACAAGACAGACCATGTGGCATAAAACAGATAACACACTTCATGTACCTGTACTATAAGCAGTTACACCATTTAATTAATTTTTTTTTGTAAATTCAAAATCAGTGCAAGGATTTTGCATGCATGTGTGTGTTTACACTCATATGCCAACATTTCAAAATTCATGGAGTTGGCTGCCCTGCCAGATCAACTAAATTTCATTTTGTCTTTGCTCCATTCACATTTAGTTTCCTATAAAA